GACGGTTTTATCTAAATTGATACGTAGACCCGAAATCAAGGAGAAGCGCTCAAGAACTCGTTGCAAGTTAGGAAGCGTCGTCAGAGGATTAGTAAGGGTCAAGAGGGCATCGTCCGCAAAGAGGCTCAGCTTAAAACTCCTGTCCCGCATATGGAACCCCGATATATTGCAATCGGTCCGGAGCGCTAAAGCCAGTGGCTCAAGCGCCAGGACAAAGAGCGCCGGGGACAGCGGGCAACCCTGCCTCGTCCCTCGCCCAACAGGAAAGGGATCCGAGAAATACCCAGCGTATTTTAAACGGAGGCCGAAGGAAAGGAATACAAGGCCTGAATCCAAGAGAGGATAGAATCCCCGAAAACCCCAACGAGACAGCACAAACCGCAGATATTCCCAAGATAGAGAATCAAAAGCTTTATATATGTCCAAGGACAGTAGGAATCCTGGGATTTTCCGTTGTTGCAGAAAATGTATAAGATGGACCACCTTACGGACGTTATCACCGCCTGCCTCCCGGGGACGAACCCTACTTGGTCCCTGTGGACCAAGCTACACAAATATTTATTGATGCGAAAACTAAGGATCTTGCCCAATATCTTCAGGTCTTCATTAAGAAGAGAAATGGGCCGGAAGGCTTGCGGTTCCTGGACATCGTCGGTCGTCTTAGGAATCATAGAGATATGTGCCCTAAGTGCATCCGGAGAGGGCAAAGAGCCCTGTCGTAAACTCATTGAAATAGGCCGCTAAAAAAGGCGCCAATAGGGCTGAGAATTTTTTATAATAGAGACCGGAGAAGCCGTCGGGACCTGGGGCCGCGGTGGACCGTAAAGACTTGATCGCTTGGAGCACTTCCGGTACGGTGGACACCAGCATTGAGGGCCGCCTGTGCTGCCCTCGGTTAATCCGGGAAGATGGAGGTCTTGAAAGAATGCCTCTGCCTGGGCCACAGGGAAAGGATCTGGGGCAGCATAGAGGCGCGAAAGGAAGTCCGAGAATCGGGAAAAATCTGCTGGGGATTAGAAGTACAGCCACCTGTGGAAAGTCGAAGTCGAATTGGTTTATGGGGCTTCCCCACAGAATTGAGTTTCCTGGCTAGCATGGGACCGGGCTTATTAGCGCAGGAATAAAATTTATGTCTGGTCCAACGCAGGGCCCGTTCCGCCTCCGAAGAGGCGAGGAGGTCCAATTCTGTCGCCAGAGCGTCCCGAGCGCGTTTATGGGCCACGGATGGAGATGACTTCCAACGCGCATCCGCAGAGGCCAGGAGAGAATGAAGCTCCAAGAGTCGGCGTTCCCGCTCCCGCTTCCGGACCGCAGCCAGCTGTATAACATGACCCGAACCGTGGCCTTATGCGCTTCCCATAGGGGCAATGCTGAAGAGACCGATCCCGAGTTTTCCGCAAGTATGTCCGTAAAAAGAATTCTATTTGTTGGCAGGTAGCCTGATAGTGGTCAGTAAAGAGTCATTGATGCGCCAATGAAAAGGGCGCCGTTTCTGACCCAGAAAGGGCAAGGAGGAGTACCAAGGGATCATGATCTGACCAGGGTGAGTAAGGAATAGTTATCCGCCGGACCGAGGGGAGCTGCTGGACCTGCATGAATATATGATCAATTCTACAAAACTATCATGGGGATTGGAATAGAACGTAAAGTCGCGTTCAGTTGGATGAAGTTCCCTCCAGACGTCCGCTAGCCCCGCCGTCCGCAAAAAGAGAGCGCATACGTTCCTCTAACACCAAGTCATGAGAGGGGGGTCGCTCCCGTGCGTAGCGCCTATCCAATGTGGAATCCAAGGTAACATTCGAATCCCCCATAACAAGAAGAAGACCCTTAGAATGTCGAGAAACAATGGTGCAAAGATGCGAAAAGAATTTATGCTGGAAACGGTTAGGCGCGTAGTAAGAGACAAAGGTAACCCTCCTGGTCCCAGAGGGTGCCCTGCAGAAGCAAATACCTGCCGTGGGGTCCGCTATATGCCTAGAACAGACAAAGGGGAGATTGCGTTTAAAAGCTATCCAGAACACCCCGACGCTTCTCAGAGCCGAGGCCGTGTAAAAGATGGGATAGTGAGGTGAAAGATAACGCGGAGCGGAGGACTGAGAAAACCTGGTCTCCTGTAGACATACCACATCAATTTGTTGCGATTTGAGATGATGAAAAACTTTAGCCCGTTTCTGAGGCGAATTGAAGCCTTGAACATTTTGTGAATGTATTTTCAAAAGGGGCGAGGCCATGGCGGTATCAACGCAACACGCTCAGCAGAAAAAAGCCCAAAGCAGCCAGCAATCTCCACTCCCAATGGTGATCGGGACCATGGCGTCCCAGAACCCTGCAGAAAACAAAAACGAAAAAAAAAACAGAGAAAAAAGAAAAAGAACAAAGAAAGAAAAAAGGAAAAAAGACATAAAAAGTATACATAACAGTGCAATTGTGTCACACCAATGGTGACGCGCATCCTACACATGAAGGATACAATTAGGGGTAACTCTACCACCGGACACATGGCTGCAAATGGAAACATCAAAACTGAAGCCCTCAGAGGGCAAAAAAGCAAAAAATAATATAATGTAATAAAACGTAATGAAACTAAAAAGTCCCAGGAGCAGGAACCTCCGCGATAACCTCCCCATAGGAACCCAGAGAACCATAGGAGCCAACCCCCTTCCACCCAACCAGGCCCACCGGGTCAACCTCCCACCCCGGGGCCCAAGGAGCAGTACCAACCCGAAATGCAAACAAACTGGGGGAGCCCCAAGGGCCAAACTCACGGTCCCGTCAGAGAGTTCATCGGTGAGATGATACATGGAAAATTCAGGACGCATCTTCAGCCCGGAGAAGAACAGGAAGGACTTGATCGCGAAGGGGTCTGAGAAAGGGCCCTCTTCCTATTGGACGACCGCTCCCAGATGCGGCTCGGAGGAAGCGGGCCTTGCCGGTGATCCAGATGAATGAACTGGGCTCCGATCCGCAGCCTCCGGCGAAAGAAGGTGTAAGGATTCCAGGAGAGAGTGAGCCTCCTCTGGTGTAGCCACAGAGTGACTGCGGCCCCCGGTAGGTGAAGGTGAGGCGGAACGGAAAGCCCAGGCGTATTTAATACTATGTTTCACCAGGACCGAAGTAAAGGGCTTCAACTGGCGGCGCTTTTGTAGAGTGGTCTGGGAGAGGTCCGCAAAGAGCTGATAGCGATGCCCCTGGAAGCTGAGATCAGGTTTATTTCTGGCCGCCAAGAGGATGGTTTCCTTAGTGCGGTAATAAGTGAACTTGATGATAATGTCTCTCGAGGGCCCATCCGGTCGTCTGGGGCCCAAGGCACGATGTATGCGATCAAATTCAAGACGGTCAATGGGAATGGCGGGCGTCAGCTTCTGGAACAGAGCAGTAGCAGTGGAGGTAAGATCCGTAACCGTTTCCGGGATACCCTTAACCGCAAGTTGCCACGGCGCGGGGGGAACGATTTTCAAAATCCTCAAGCCGTAGCAGCGTGTCCGCCAATTCTTTTTGAGGTCGCATAAATCCTGCTCGTGATTTTCAAGGACCGTAGCCGCAGCATCCATTTTATCTTCAAGGTCGCTCGTCCGGCTGCCCAACTCTCCGAATTTCCCGTGAGAGACGGTCGGCCAGCTTGGAGGTGGCGGAGGACAATTCTGATTGTAACATAAACTGGAAGCGGCGCAGGAGCTCAGCATCCCGCAGAGTAGATGGCATGGGAGACTGCTGGGGTGGCTCCAATGGCATGGGAGACTGCTGGGACGGGTCCTCCACACTGCCATGATCCGACCCACCTGCAGATGGTGATGGCATGGGACCCAAAATTGCGGCTGGGGCTCCATTTAAGGTCTCGGGCGGGAGCCGCGAATCCGCGGCCGAGGTCCTGGAAGTGGTCGGCGGCCGGCCCAAAATCGAGGCCGCGGCTTCAGCCGCGACCTCCGGCGGGTAGGCCGCAAACTCCGGCGCCGCCCGGCGGGAGCTGGAGGCACGGGTGGCCGGCGTTTTTTTTTTGCCCATCGGGGCACCAGGGTAGCGAGGGGCCAGAAAAGGAGCAGGGGGACCCCCCCTGAGGGACAGAAATCGGCCGATGTGTCCGGCGGCCACAGCACAGATCTAAAAGGCAACCATCCTGGTTGCTGCTCACGAGCGCCCCCCAGGTTCTTTTCTTTTTAATACATTAAAAAGACATTTCTAAAATTCTGTTTTCACTTTGTCATCATGGGGTACTGACTGTAGATTAATGAGAAAAAATGAACTGAAACAACTCTGATATTAAGCTGCAACATAACAATGCAAATGCATTTAGCATTGTATATACCTGTACATATACACGTACAAAGTGTGTGTGTGTGTATATATATATATAGTACATTTTTGGAGTCCCTTTAACACTTTTCAGTTTACCTGGATGTTACTGGCATGTGGGCAAAGTCTCAAAAAAAAAATATTTAGAAATTCAAATGTGACATCTTGAAAATTATGAAATTCCATGTGTAAGAAGCCAAAGCCACCTCACAGACAAGTGTGCCAGTTCCCGTACCAAACCGTAATGATCTCCAAATGATAACAGATCACCAGTGCAGAAGTCATCCAGTTGGGGGGGCCACCACTCAGGATACCACTGACTCCACCACCTCCATGGTCCTTTACTGGTTTTCCAGAGCCTCAAAGTAATAATGGCGAGGCCCATGGCACATGATTTTGTAAACCCACTGTTGATGTGTTTTGTGATGTGTTTTGTCTGTGTTACTCTAACTTTTGTGAGTATATCTACTTTTAATAAATCATGTGGTTTTAGAATACTACTCTATGGTCCTTTGCTCTTTATCCTACCCATTATCACTCTGAGGTACAATCCACCCTTTGTCTTTGGGTTGCATTGGGTCTCCTAAACTGTACAAGGTGGTGTCTCTAAACTCAGAGCTTTTCTGCCATCGTGTCCCCCCCTCCCCCTATTTAAAGCCTTGCTTGTAAGTATAGTGTTAGGATTACAAAAATCCAGTTGTTAGTCTTACCTCCTCCTCTAACCAATCATTATACTGAACAATGCTAGCCATGGCGACATCAGCACCTTTCATATAGAAGGTGATTTCTCCTGAAGACTCTTCCTAAAAAAAAAAAAATACAACAAAATACTGTAGTAACATGTAATCTAGATATGAACATACATGTATTTCTGATCATAATGCCATTCTGTCTCTCATCTGAACCCTCACTGCAAGTGCTACTCAATGTCCAAAGAAAACTTTTATTATAGCTAAATGCTGTGTGATGTTTTTAAGACAGGTGGGACAGAAAACATATGAAAGGTCAATAGCAAATTATTTACACTATTAATATGTTTTCTTCAATACACATATGTACATGCTGGGCTGTGTTTGCTCCTGTTAGGAGGAGACTGCCTTAAGCATGCATCTAAAGTGAGCTAGATTTGGGACACAGGAAGATACTACTGATTTATATCCTCACACTAAGCTGGGGGTGTGTTCAGGTAACAATGTTCACTGCAGTCACAATAGAGCTTGCTAATGAATTAGGGCCCATTCACACCTTGTTGCCCTGATGATCTGGGTTAATGCAAACACATTAACAAGCATTTTTGCAAGTGTTGATGCACATTGTCTTAGGACCACCTATTCAAATGAATGGGCTGCCAACACACCAAAAAGTCCCAAAAATTGGACATACATAATTTTTGCAATGCAGCACACCTGCACCACAATGCACTGGAGTGGAAATAGGAATGCTATCAAATCAGGCTTTAAATGGGGAGCAGAAAGGGACTCAAAGGCAGGGGAAAGGGACTCAAAGGTCATTATGATTAATAGTTGTTACTCTATATAGAATCATCTAGCGTTTCTATTTATAGCCAAAGAGACACCTTGTCTTCTTCCTGGCTTCAAATTTCCAATGCTACAATGGTATATAGCTTGGGGTTTTAAAGCAGAACAGCAGTACAGATGGTCCAACAAGGACACACACCAACCCTCCTCCTCCTCCACTGAGAAAAGTTATTTTATTGATTACACTGTTTGTAACAAGATCTGTGAATGCATGTGAAAATCCTGCAACTCACCAGACTCGCTCCCATTCACAGATTGTGTTACAAGCATTGTAATAAATGAAAGTACTTTTCTCTATGGAGGAGGAAAGATGGGGTGTATCCCTGTTGCACCATCTGTATTGCTATTCTGCTTAAAGACCAGAACCTGTAAAGCACTGCAGCGCCAGAATTTCAAAGTCAGGAAGAGAACAAGACATCCTTGCAGTGAAAATTTCACCAGGATACAGGTGCCTGTATGACATATTTTGAAACAGCGATGTGACCAAAGCTGTAGGGTTCTTTTTTTTCAAGAATTAAGCTATAGAACAGGAGGTAAGGTTTTATTCCTAATGACACTTCTTATGTAAGGTGCTGGAGCATAAATATTTAAGACTTTACAAAAGAAACTTTAAGTTCTAATTAGTCTGCTACTGCTTAAAAATTGACCATGCAAACCCAGGTAAAAAACCAAAAAATAGATATCCAGAGGTACTTACACATACCTTGTTTTTTATTCCATATTCCATCCATTGAGTCCCCAAACATGGGAGGTCAGTAAATCCAAACTCAGGGCGGTCAGTTTACTCAAACCTAGAGTTTTCTGTATAAATAACTCAGTGTTCAGGGTTTTTAATTATATCCGAACTTAGAGTGCTCAGTATTATAATCAAACCAGGGTGCTCAGTATACCTAATCTCAGTACACTCAACCCAGTATTCTCAGACTAAACCCAGGTTGGCTAATATACAAAAGCCCAGGGTGGCTAGTAATCCCAAACTCAAGGTAGTCAGTATACAACAGCCCAGGAGTTTGGGCTGCTCAGCATACAATAGCAGCCTCTGGCTTAGAAGTCCAAGTTCTACACACACACACCTTCCCAGGACTATCTGACCAACAGTAAGGAACACATTAAGTGTAAAAGTATCACAGCTTTGAATTATAAAATAGAAACCAAGTATTTGCACACAGAGCTTCCATAGTTTAGCGGTTCATAGACCACTCTAGTAAATAAAACAAAAAATGTGATGGCAATGTGTTGGCTTTTAGGTACGTCTGTCACTTGAACAACCATTTCCAAGATCCAGGTGTACTTTAAAAACCTATATTTGAAATAATATTGTTTTTAGATCGGTGGAAATATATAAAAAACTATAGTTAGTCTAGAATTTAGTGCAGAGCCAGTAAGTGAAACACTGCTGTAGAGTGAAATAGTAAAAAAAAAATAAACAAAACTGTCATGGGAAAGCTAGAATCCTTCGCTTATCCTTAGCTACAGTTAAACATTAATTTTACAATACTTATGTCCATCCCTTAAAGGAATAAAGCAGTGGGATACAGGGTGAAATATCATTTTTACACACAATTGAAAACAACATAAGTCTCATGTGAAATATAAAGAAATAAGAAAAGCCAACTGTTTCAGTTTTCACAATAAAATAGTTCCCATTATCTATTTTATTAGCAATTAAATAAATCTTACCCTCACTATGATTCCCATTCGTTTGCTCTCAGAAGTAAAAGGAAAGATCTGAAGAATGAAGAAAGTCAAAATCTGTCCACTAGGGGTTTTAAGCTGCATAGAGGTCAAATCTCTGTTGACAAGAGTAAGTCCAACACTTTCTGTCCACTTTACAAGGGCCACCTGTGGAAAAATAAACATACTGAAATCACTTTTAATCAAGCAGTAAAACAATTAATTAGTTAATGTGTTTGTACCTGAAAATCATTAAAAATAGTATAATACAGGAATCTTTTAAAGAATGTCTCTAATCCGTCTAAAAAATGACGGACTAGAAAACACTATACACCAAGCTCATGTAATCCAAAAGATGTGAAAAGGGGGGGGGGGGTGCCTGGTGCATGGTTTGGTAAAAATACTGCATATAGCATTTATTTTATTAAGCTAATCCCTTTTTGAGAATGAAACAATTGACTAAGACACAGTTCTTTACTTTAATTATTTAACTCACAATACAGTTTCACAGGAAGGAAATAATTCACAAACATCTGTAATTTGACACACACACACTAAAATAAGTATTGAACACGTCACCATTTTTCTAGGTAAATATATTTCTTTAGGTGTAATTGACATGATATTTTCACCACATGTCGGTAACAATCCATACATCCAAAGATACCAAACTATATAGTTCAGCAATTAAAGTTATGTGTAATAAAATGGAATGACACACGGAAAAAGTATTGAACACGCTAACTGAAATTTATTTCATACTTTGTACAAAATCCTTTGTTGGTAATGACAGCTTCAAGACGCCTCCTGTATGGAGAAATTAGTCGCATGCATTGTTCAGGTGTGATTTTGGACCATTCTTCCACACAAACAGTCTTCAAATCTGGAAGGTTCTGTGGGCCTCTTCTTTGAACTCTGATCTTTTAGTTCTTTCCTTAGATTTTCTATTGGATTCAATTCTGGTTTTTGGCTGGGCCATTCTAGCAGCTTGAGTTTCCTTCATCATCCTGATAAATGGCAGCAATTTTTATCAAGAATGTCTTGGCACATTTTTACATTCATCCTTCTTTCAATGATATGAAGTTTGCCAGTACTGTATGCTAAGACAAAGCCCCACACCATGATGTTCCCACCTCCAAACTTTGCTGTTGGTATGGTGTTTTTGAGGTGATGTGCAGTGCCATTTGACCTCCAGACATGGCGTGTATTATGACATCCAAACAGTTCAATTTTGGTCTCATCTGACCAGACTATATTCTCCCAATATTTCATAGGCTTGTCTAAATGTTGTGCAGCAAACTTTAAACGGGTTTCAACATGCTTTTTCTTTAGCAATTGAGTCTTGCGTGGTGAGTGTGCATACAGGCCATGGCGATTGAGTGCATTATTTATTGTTTTCTTTGAAACAATTGTACCTGCTAATTCCAGGTCTTTCTGAAGCTCTCCACAAGTGGTCTTTGGCTCTTGGACAACTCTTCTAATGATTCTTTTCACTCCTCTGTCAAAAATCTTGTGAGGAGAACCTGGTTGTGGCTGGTTTATGGTGAAATAATGTTCTTTCCACTTCTGGATTATGGCCCCAACAGTGCTCACTGGAACATTCAGAAGTTTAGAGATCCTTGTGTAATCATTGGCATCAGTATGTTTTGCAAAAATAAGGTTGCAAAGGTCTTGAGCGAGCTCTTTGCTTTTACCCATCATGAGATGTGACACCTTGGTAATGGGCACCTTTTTATAAGTCATCAGTAGAGACTGAACCAGCTGATATTAATTTGCACTGACAAGGGGCAGGATTGCTTTCTAATTACTGATATATTTCAACTGATGTCTTGGCTTTCCATGCCTTTTTGCTCCTCCCTTCCTTAAAGTGTTCCATACTTTTTCCCTGTGTCATTACATTTTCTTACACATAACTTAATTTATTATTTGTTTTGGTTTCCTTGTATGTATGGATTGCATGGGTTGTTACCAACATGTGGTGAAAAAGTTCATGTCAATAGCAACATTAGAAATATATTTACTGAGAAAAATGGTGACGTGTTCAATACTTATTTTACCCACTGCATATATATTTATTTCTTTTTATATTGAGAACTGGTATTTTATCTTCACCAAAGGCTGTTCTACATAGGCAACATAAGCAGGTGCCTAGGGCAGCGGGGCTGGCTCACAGTCACCTACATGTCATGCCACTGTTAGTAACAAATTTTGTTGTATAATAAAAGGATCCAGACTTGTCTGCCAGTACCATCTTGTAGTCATTAATTCTCAGTGTACCAAGGCAGAGTGGGTGAATTGTATTTTTCAGTGTTTGTGTCAACGTCCAGCCTTGACATGTCTGGTGTGACTATGGCATCTTGTTATTGTGATACTAAGGTTTGTCAAATGACATGGGTAACATGGAGGGCAGCACAAGATATTTGACCTAAGAGGGCACAAAGTATAAACTCCATCTATCTCCCCCTTAAATGGCCCTTTTACCTGCTTTCCTCAAATACACACCTCACAATCGTCCGTCAGAAACTACTGAAATGTGAAGGTAACCTCTTTTGCTTCCTCTAATATTCTCCATCAGAGTACATTAACATGGACAACCCAGGGTGGTAACAATGGTATAAAGTCTAAAATCTATGCACAGTCTGTCAGAGACATGCCAGAGGCTAAAGCTGACCATAGATATGTAGAATTTCAGACAAGAATATTCGTATGAAAAGTCTTTGTACATTCGATGAACGTACGAATGTCATTTGAAAATTGTCTTTTTCTTTAAACATTTGATTTTAAAATGAATGTAATTTCTGAACAATAACAACATACATTGTCCAAAAATTAAATTGATTGAAAAAAATTTCTTTCCTGCCACTTCAAATTTTCCCATCACAGCGGCCGAAAACGGACATTGATTTGACTCCACTAACGATTAGAAAATCAAACAAATAATCTTATAACATAAGGAACAAACTGCACAACCTACAGTGGACCTGTAACAACAAATGGAAGCAGCGCTGGCTCTGATTATCCTGTGATAAAAATCAAAGCAATATGTAACAACTGTATGTGCAAAACAAACCAACAAATATTTTTGCAAACAGAAATAAAATAAATACTACAAGGAAATCAAATAGTGAAGTGACGTGCTCTACAAATGGCATGTGCTAAATCAGTAAACTAATAAAATAATAAATATAAAGTGGACCTGTGGCCAGGCTATAGAAATCCAATTATTTATACATTCTTTTACATGCAGTAAATAAAATGAAAAGCACTGAAGCTGTTCAAGTCATCCTCTAAGCAGCTTAGATCACCCTGCTCTTCTCTCCTACAGTTGCTGCTCTTCATTTACATCAAAGAATAGATGGCTGGAAGATTCCAAGGTCACTGCTGGAAGACTACCAAGCCACTCTTGGGGAGGGAGCAGGGTGAGCTAAGCTGCTAAGACAACTGGCATCAGTGCTGGAAATATTATTCCACAATACCTGCAGCTATAGAGGTCCATGATCAGAGTAGAACTGCACTTCCTCCATTTCTTTAACAGGCCTAGCTGTACAGCATAACTTTATTTTATATGGGTTCTCAGCTTTTATTCATATGGTTTCCAAAAAAAAATAACCTGTTGCTGTAGCTGCTTAAAAGGAGTTAGCTGGACTTAGGCTTCAATTAGTTTGTCACTTACATAAACCCATCCAGTCTGTTTATTAACGTGCCCCAGTATGATGCCCCTTGCAGGGGATCAGGGTTACCAATTGTCTGTTAATTCATAGACAATTTGTAAAAAAATCTTTGATATATGTTCCAGTTTGTTGATATCCTAGAAGGGGACACATGTCCATAAATATAGACTCTGGAGAGTAGATGCACACAGCAGGAAAGAATCTGCTTACACTGTGTAGCGTCGCCCAGCGCAGTATAACAGAGGGAGACTCAGGAGGCAGCTAAAGCTGCTGCTGCTAAACCTCCAGCTGCCTATTCATCAAATGAGTGCTGTAACCCGCCCTTCCCAAGAGCATGACATTTGACTTAAAACCAATATACCCCAAAGTACCCGTGCTGATGGTGATAAAAAATACTTCAAATGACAAAAAAATATAAAAAATAAACATCAATGCTGCTAGCTGCTGCCCACTAGTGATAAATCACCTAATAAACCATAAACCATGTATCCCCTAGATAGAAGAAATGACAGCACTTTCTAAACTAATAAACAGTGAACCAAATGTGGAAATTAAGTCTATAGATCAAAATTCATAATATGAAACAGTCCAAATGTACGGTATATGTGCTCTGTGTTCATAACAGTTCACTCTCCTTTAGGTGCAAAAAAAGTGCTGATAGTGTGAAGAACTCCCAAACCAGATGGATCCAAGCAGGAGGACATTGCATTATTATGATGAAACATGTTGGGCAGTAACTTCTGGTGACCTCATATCCAGTTCCTGGAGGAAGGCTACGGCGGCCCTGGATGGGTGATGAAACAGTAAAATTCACAAGGCTATTGATACTGCTTATTGTGTGTGACAGAACGCCTGTCACCCAGATTGGGTGATTCCGTCAGAGAACAGCTTCCTCACTACTGGACACAGGACCAAGGTATTATAGCCAGGCATTGCGCCCAAGACTAGCTTAGATGGCAAAACTGGAACTCTTTATTGAACAGAAAACACAGGTTTTTATACACGCCAGAAATAGGGCCCATCCCCTCATGAACAATAAAACAAATATTATACTTTGGGATGTACATCCCACACTGATTAAGTAAGTGCTTGATCCCAACAGTACAGCCAACAGCGATCTAATTAACAGTAAGCTAATAAACAACCAGGCACTCAGGCAATGCTTCAATTAATCAGGGAGCTCACCGCAACAAACCCACCCCTGAATGCACAAAGTCCATTACACATGCTGTCTTTCAGATGTTTGCTTTCACTTGTATAATCTGTCCATCATAAAACAAAACTCATACAATATTCCAACATTCTGAACAGTGGAATTAGTTTATTTTCATAGATTTCTTGAGGGAGATTGTTGATAAATATTTCTGTCCTAAATAGAGGAGCTTCTCCAACCCAGTCCGCATGAGGGCTACCATATTTCCTCTGAACATTAATGTGTACAAGATTAATATTACATCTTTCCATCCACTCTAGAAGGGAAGATTTATTGTATTTATG